AAGGTAAACAGAAGGAAATCAACTTTCCAATACAGACCATAATGCTATGCCGATAATAACCTAATTATTCGAAACATTTTTTATTGTCACATAACGGGCGACAAGGAACAGATCCGGGAAACTATCTACAACGCAGTCAGAGATGCTTTCACAGTCACCCCCGGCAATGACCAACCCGCAGATGACAGCTCGTTCATCATGGAAGCACTGAGACAGGAACTCTTAGATGGAAGGATGGAAAATGAGAGGCTGGAGGACATGACCATCGCCTAAAATGAATACAGGTAGGTACCTATGTAGGTACTGACTACCTTGTACCGAACGACGCTCAAAAAGGTTGGCACGGCGGAGTTGAAGAGGCTGGTCTACCTGAAAAGGTAGATATATCAGATTGCGAAAGAAACAGCAACATTTGAGCTTGCGTTTGACTTTGATCTATGCCTTTATGGGTAGGTAGGTTTGCGGGGGCATTTTATAAGCTTCTGCCAACATCTGGTGACTACTTAGTAAACATGACTTTGAGGATTACTTTTTGATCTCAGAAGGAGCGTTAACGCGTCTCTTGGCGAGGACGAAGCGAACTTTGCTTCCGACTAACAAGACCGGTCTGGAAGACAATGGGGAGCCTGATGTCGCTAGCATCATAGCCATGGCCGAAGGTGCTGAGCCTAGAGCGGGCAGAATCATGCATCTTCAGCAAGTCTACAGGCAACAGCTATATGAGAGTAACGACCAGTGACTAAAGTATTACATAGATTACATACATCTAGCTGAACGTACACGAGGGGTCACTCACTAGATCTCGCATCTATGTCATGAAGGCGGCAGAGGCAATGTTGGTACGTACGGAACAACGATTCTGAGGTGTCTATTGGATCTTTAGCGAACCATAGCTTTGGCAACAGCAAGAAGGAGTATTTATTGGCTAGCTAGGAAGTTGAAGGGCATGGGGAGGCCTATATGTCGCTGGATTGCACTCTAAATTGGGAGAGCAATGGCAAGAACCTGCCACCACGATCTGCCGTTCGCTTGATAGTTGTTTAACATAGCTCTCCTATTATGTTGCGACAACATGTGTAGTATCGTTTAAAAGTTGTAGGATGGTGCATAATTTGTTGGAGTCTTAGGTATGTCAGTAGGTTTATGAGAACAAGACGAGACTTGGGGGTTCTACGACCTCATTATCAAAGACAAAATTGAAGAGAAAGATAAAGTGAAAGACGTTCCAACTCCACTAACGGCGACAATGGAAGGCCTTGACTATATTGAAAGCATTAGTAGGTGAAGAAGTGCGACATCATGTAGTTGGGGATGAGAACTCTCTACTTAGTGGATATAGATCTTGGTGACTGAAAAGACAAGAGGGACATTCAAAGAATTACCTAGCCTTTAAATATGATTGCCCTCGGCTGTGTTCATCACCTAGTACCTAGCCAGTACGTAACAGTAGGTGTCTCACTGGGACATGATCTCGACACTCGACCGAGCAGGCACTTTCTCAACTTGAAACGAGGTAGCATCAGATCTAGATCCGTGTATTTATTATACCTGCTCAATTCGAGAACGTGTTATGTCTGTAGTTGTTCAGTACGTGACAGTCAATCTCGCGGAGGAGACGAAGGAAACCCAAGTACACAATCTGCGCGGCAAAATCAAGACTGGCCAATTTTTTGCATTAGGATAAATTGTTGGTGAAATAAAGACCAGACAGAAACATCTTATTGAATCATTCAGGTGTGTCTTCAGAATCACAGGCACTACAAAGGTATTTTCCGTCTCAGCTTTCTAATACAGGCCACGATATTGATAGACAATAGTTAACAATAATGACAAATTACTTAGCAATTGTGAGGCAACATTATCTGTTTATTACCTGAATCCACCATAGGAAACGTTATATATGACGGGCGGCCACATTAATTCTCTCGACGTGACCTTGCAGTCTTTGGTTTTCTGATAGCCTCTTGCTGCGGAGTCGACTTCGTCTAACCGTCTCTGCCTCACAGTACAATTGTTCCTTCTATTTTGGTGCTGCTTTATGGTGGAATTCGTAGTCCATGAACTTGTTGGGAAGGATGGTACGAGATACGTACCTTTCGTCACCTATCGAATGTCTAAGGTAGCACCTTCCTTGCCACCCATTGCAGTAGACATTGGGCGGGACACCTGCCTCCAACCCGAGGACAATAGGATGAGTTGAGTGCAACGCACCTTCCCATGAATGAAATGCCCATCACAGAGCGAGAAAGTACCAACGTCATAAGGGAAAATTGTTCAGAAAGAGTGACAGTACATCAGTACGCACCTTGGAATAAAACATGCTCGAACCTCCTTCGACGTCTATTTTCTTTTCTTTTCCTTTGCTTCGCACTATACTGTCTGCTCCCTTTGCTCCCTCTGTGCGACGCAACAGACAGTCGACACGACCCTCCAAGCAACAGACAATCGTCCCAATGGCCAGAGACGTAAGTAGTGTTTCAAATGAGCTCAATTGAACACTCTAGTCTAATAAACTGATTTAGGAGTAAATACTTTCGGTCCTGACGGACATGGCCGCAAGTTTGCGGCAGGCAACTGGGGCTTCAGCCTCGGGGTCGCAACCCCCACCGCCGCCCCAAGTGCTGAAATGTAAGTATAAGCTTGTCTGCCATGGTGGTTATCAATCAACAATTTACTGACATATGCTATGTAGTGCAAGAAGATCCGCCATACGCGGGCCTAGTGTCGGCATCCCCCCGGCGCAGCCCCCCACCGTGGCCGCCGCCGAGTGTGCCCCGCCGACCCCTCCCCCCCAGGATACTACCACGGAGTCTCCTCCCGGCCACCGAACCAAGCAAGTGGGCGTTAGAATAACAGGGACTGCAAAGATGTCTTTTCCTAACTTTCCAGCACGATATTGATACATAATAGGTAGTTAATAATAACAACACTAATAAATTCTTAACCCATTATCAGGCAATATCATCCACTTACTACCATAGGTATATTAAGAAACAATAAGAAGTGTTATAATATGACTGGCGGTCACAATAATTCTGTCGACGTGACTTTGCAGTCCCTGTTTTTTTAAGTCAATCAATGGTAGATATCAATACTACCTTCTTTCTTGGCCAAGTACTGAGGAAAAGGTGCATGAGTATGTAGAGCCTCAGGAAACAACCAAACTTGCATGTAATTCCAATACAGTCATAGGCTTCGATCCCGTCTAGGACCAAAGAATAAATAATGATGCTACCGGATAATGAGTGTAGACGCCCTCACCGCTGGGCGCTTCTTCGTGATGCTTGTCATATCTCTGGGTCCCCTTACCCCTGAAACAAGAATGTAACAGTACACCCATTAGCTAGCCTCCTAAAGTAATAGCAGTTCTAAGAGATCGAGGGATGAACAAACTGACGACTCTGTTTTGCAATAGTGTGCTTTATGTATGGATATTCTCTCCAGCATGAATTGATCTATGCACATTCAAACAAGACGATTCAATATCCTACTCATTTAGACTTTTAAAAATCCTCTTTCTACTTGAACTGATTGCCCCTCTGCTGCTAGTCATGCATCCTCTGGTCGTACTAATGCTGCCCGGAGCTATTCCGATACAGTATTCATTATCCTATTATTAACAAGCCTGATAATACGAAAAGCTTACGTATGTTCGTTCTTTAACAGGAGTATTACACATATGGCCGTTGTGCTAAGGAAATTTACGCCTTGCTGGCTGTCTGGACGTTTCTGCTTGTTCCCAGTTTCCGTCTCGCTGCGGTCTTGGGCCCGTCTTCGTGACGTATATGATGAGTGTCTGAGACCCTTGAAGCCGAAAATTTCCAGATCCAGCGTTTGCTAGATAAACTCGATACCTCTCTTTGATGATCCTCGCCTTTCCCAGTGGGATGAAAAACTCCCCTCTGCGACTTGCCTATTCATTCTACGGTGTCTGTAGCGGCCCCGGCGTTAGCTGTGGCTACGAGTTTAGACCAGATGAACGATAGTTGGAGACCCGACATAGTTGTCTACTGAATAATGAGTGATCGCTGTGAATCCAACTCCGAGAACAAGCGATTGATGTTTAGCTGGTCTCGCTGTTATCCATAGGGGCAGTCAATTCGTAGGGAGCCGACCTAGCTATCTACTACCAAGACAAGTGATCGCCACTGACCAGACCTAATACTCTCCAACGGCTGTTGAGACCAGCGATCGCTGCAGCCCTGACCAAACTGTCTTCCGGCTATGTGACTCTCTGTGCAGTGATTGATTGGTATGATAACATTGACCTGGAGCAATGAGTTAGGAGCTATATTGGTAATCAATGCTGCCATTAGTTTGCAATGAGCGTCTGAAACTCGGATGTTTGAAGGTTTGAAGCAACTAAAGGTTTTGGCTTTTTGCGTTGATCTACACGATGGACGTTTTCTAGCGCCGCAACCTCGTACAGACGGGCTACTCGGAAGTGGGTTGTTGAGCTATCCAGTCCCGAAGGCATGGTTTTCAATCGATACCACCAAACCAATTACTTCACTCGATGCAATAGACGCAAGCTGTGGTATTCTTCATGCTTGAGTCTCTTGAAAGCATTAGTAGGCAGCTAAACGACAATGAAAGGTTGGAACAGTTCTCATTTCGGGGTTGCTTGACAATTAACACAATGAGGTTTGCATTAATAGCTTGAATTCGAAATTCCTCATGTGGGGAGAGCTTGACGAACTACAGATTCTAACATCCAAAGCGGATTTCGTCAGATTATGGCAAGAGATAGGGAGCACATGTGAAAAGTCGTCACCAATATCACATAAGAACCGCATTGACAATTCGTAGAGAGTAAACATTGACCCTGATGCAAATCATTCCGAGGATTCTAACCTCCAAACTCCCACGGTGAATCCCACGAAGCCGATCAATCCACCTAAACCGACTCATGGTCAACCTTCCCTCCATTTTTAGATTACATGCCGATTCCGTTCATCATGTATCTCAAGAGTGACGTCTTTTTATCGTGCCGGAGTTGTTTAGGAAGGGGGGGCAGCGCCACGGCCACGGCCGAAACCACCACGGCTGTAAGATTGTCAGTATGAAAGCTCTCCCGAGTCAATTTCAGAATATAATGGTGTGCGCTCACAATTGAGGAGCGTACTCTCCGGGAGCACCACCCTCCTTGCCCTCGCCAGCATCGCGTCTTCGGTATCCGCCCTCACGGTCACCACGGTCACCGCCACGTCCACGGCCGAATGGCCGTCTCTCGCGCTCACCCTCGCCGAGCATGCCACGGGGAGGAGCATGCGATCGCTGCTGCTTGATGTGGGTGGCAGGAACGATCTCGGCAGGGAGGTGAAGCCATTCGCGGAGGTAGTCCAGACCCTCGGGGGTCAGGGTGTAGTAGTACCACTGCCAAGAGAACTGAGTCTTGACATAGCCGCGGGAGTTGAGGGACTGGAGAGCCTTGATAACGTAGAGGTTCTTCGTGTCGAGGTCTGGGTGCTTGGGCAGGTTGAAGTCCTTGGGGGCCACGAGAACACCCTCACGGAAGAGGTACTGGCGGGAACGTTAGCAATTGATCAATCGATTTAGAATGCTTCCACGGGAATATACCTCGTGGATCTTCTTGCGGTCGGCCTTGGGAATAAGCATCGTGGCGGCGGGTTTGCTTTCTGGTCGATGCTAAGAAGTTGACGATTGTACGTTACGGGACAACAGCGAAAGTGCCTGGTCTCAAATTGGATTTTCTTGTGGGCGGAAACCCTACCTGAAATGCCCACCACGTTTAGGTGGGGTCGCCGTGGTGTGTGTTGTGGCTCAGTGCACGTGATGATAAGATGGATAAGGGGCAGAGGAAATAACTGTGGCGCAGACCTCGGGATCAGTGTGGCAAGTAGGTGGTTGGCGCGAGTGGACCTTCCATCACTCGTTAGCATCTCTACGCCTCCGATTCATCAACGCTGAGTAGCTAACAGTCAACATCGAGATATTATCAACGTTCATCATGGCTCCATCAAATATCAACGTTTTGGTCACCACTTTTGGCGGTCTGGGCCTGCCTCCGACTCTATCACTCCCGCTCTCGCCTACAACCACAGTTACGGCACTGCGAGAGCAACTGGACGAGCGCCTGCCAGTCACAAACTCTCGCTTCATCTTGACTACGATCTCGAACAAACAGTTGCCGGAATTTTCAGATGCCGCAGTCGCCGGATATCTTCGCCATGACGATGACGAGTTCTTGTCACTACGTTTGAGTGTCCCCTTGTTCGGTGGAAAGGGAGGTTTCGGATCGCAACTTCGCGCTGCCGGTGGTCGCATGTCATCAAGGAAGAAGAACAACCAGAACGATAACGGATCAAGCCGCAACCTGGATGGACGAAGATTACGCACTGTCACCGAGGCCAAGGCCTTGGCAGAGTACCTGGCCATCAAGCCAGAAATGGAAAAGAAAGAAAAGGAGAAGCGCAGGGAAAGATGGGAACAAATTGTTGAGATGTCAGAGCGAAGGGAGGCTGAAATCAAGTCAGGGAGCAAAGCCCGCCTGGATGGACAGTGGGTTGAGGACAAGGAGGAGTGCAACGAGAGGACTCGGGATGCTGTTCTCGCCGCCATGAAGTCAGGAAACTACCAGGACAACCTCCTTTCCACATCACAAGGCTCTACGTCCTCGGACCAAAGCATCCAAAAAAGCGATTCCGAGGATAATGATGAAGCGAAGTCAAAGGAATCAACCCCAGTATCCGAGCCTGAGAAAGTCGACAAGGGTAAAGGGAAAGCCAGGGCCTTCTTTGGCTTTGATGAAGAGGATGAGTTTATGAGCTCTGATGAGTCTGGCGAGGAATAAATGGGGAGCATTAATTTGTGTTTTATGTATGATTCGGAATGGCGCATTGGATTTCCCCGCCTGCACGTTTAATGGGTGGTGGTTTGGTTGATTGACCACTGGGTTTCTAAGCAGCAATTGCAAGCACTTGATTGGAGCATAAAATTATGACGAAGAGACAGCTTTTGACATTCATATGACCCAATCCCATTAACTTTGTGTTGAATTATTTGGAGCAATGAGCTTGACAAGGTTTGAGCATTTGTTATCTTTTTCATGGGCCTAGAGCCAATTAAAACCTGGTGACGATCCGTATTTTCCCTCTTAAATCATACGAGTCGGAAGGAACAGGATGACGAAATAAAACTTGGACCACTTCACCGTTACAAAAGCACTAACAATATACATAGGCCAGGGAGGGGCGCAGGGATGGATATCAACCAAGCCAAAATGAATTGGTATTCTAGTTCACATGTGGTACAATGGAAGCGTCCATCGCAGTTCTAATCGCCCTCTCAATATACATCTCAATTGGCCACTAATGGGAGCTGCTTAAGCATCGAGCTTGACGGGGAAGTTGCCTCCCTCTGTTGAAGATGTCAGTACGGAGCAAATTGATATGTGAGCCGGAAAAAAATTAGAATATATCGTACCTCGCTGCTCGTCCCAGCGCTGGTACCAACCAGAGGGGCACAGGGAGCGGTAGGCGTGCCAGAACTGCGTGCGCACATGTTAGCGGAAGTCGGAAAGGACGCGCGAGTGACCCGAATTGAATCGTACCTGGCGGCAAGGAGCGAAGTCTTCACCCTTGGCGAGGATGCACTTGTGGTAATCGACGTAGTTTTGCCAGCAGTGCTTGGTCTGGTTTTGGTTGGGGAAACGGGCGTCAGTGCCTAGAATTAAATGTCAGGTGTCTTGTGTCCTCCTCGATTCGGTCGTCGCGGTTCGAGCATCTGGCAATGCGTGGCGCTGGAGGGTCGGCTTACCGGCTGTGCGACAAATGTTAGCCTCGGGATCACGAAATAGAAAGGTTCGACAGCGGGATTAATGCATACCAGTGACGAACTTGAAGGGCTTGGTGACAAGCTCCTGGCCATCCGAGTCAGACATGATGAGTGATTAGTGCAATTGGCCTCTTGAAAAGTCGGGGATTGCGTTCGCGGGCTGGCGGATTCGATGTGGAATATGGTTGATGGAGATGGTCGTTTGACGTTGTCGGGGTCACATCAGGTGGTCTGACAGCTCCAGTGAGTGCCTCAGGTTTTACTCAGCCAATAGAGGTCAGGCACCCACCTTGACCACGGTGGGTCCCCCTCCCCCGTCCATGGGATCATGATCCAATCCCAGCGGACCTGTTCCATACGTCCCGACTTCAGGCGATATTTCTTACTCGAACCACCAACTGCAAAGACCGTGCAAAATCTCCCCTCAACCGCCGTCAACATGAGCTCTGCCATCGCCGCCAACATGTTCCGCCTGACGCCCCAGCTGATGTTCCGCGGAACCCCCAAGATGATGTTCAGCCGGGCCCCTCAGATGATGTTCCGCCAGGCTCCTCGCATGATGCGCCCTGTGCCCGTGAGTGACAGCTAGTTCGTGATTGTGGCCGACTGGTAGCTGACAAGATGCGTCATACAGAAGGAGGACCAGGCTGGTACGTCCCTGCCCACGGCCAATTGATATTGCAACCCAATTGGCAATTGACCATGCGACAATTCCGAGCGTTTTACTCACCCGAAGTCAGGTCACACCGTTTCCCAGCGCCTGCGAAAGCTCAAGAATATCCCTCTGGAGCTTCTTCCCCTCGGTAATTCGATTTCTCCACCAACACGATTCATACAATATTCTAACGTTCTGCAGCCGTCGTCGTCGTCTTCGCCCTCTTTGCCGCGACCTACTCCAGCATCCGCAAGTTCGTCGTTGACAAGAACCTGCGCCTGGTCCGACAAGGAGCTGCCGGCCGAGAGGAACACTCCTCCGATGAGAAGCATCACTAGGCCCGCCAGATGGATGGGAACTTCCCCTAATCAGCCCGTTCGGTAGAAGGACCAGTCCCTTATGTATATGAGAGTAGTGGGTGCAGAAGAACGAAGAGACCTTTTCTTGATCGTCTTCCAATTTCATTTGTGCCCTGTATAATCAAGTACCATCTGTTAAACCCCCCGGTAAACGCCGTCGCTATGGCAAATAAATAAGATCAATTGATGCAAACTTCCCAGGCTGCCCACTACTCGGCTTTGGGCCCCGCCACATCCAAACCCTCCAGTCCTTGCATGGGATCAGGACCCGAGGCATTCCCATTCGCTTCAGGAGCCTCACCCCGCTCCTCAATAGAATTCTTAGCAAGCCAGCCCTCCTGTAGTCATATTAGTTCAATGGATCAATTGCAAGGTATGAGTCACGAAACGAACCTGTTCCCAAATGGCCGTTTTGCTTCCCAGCCCTTCATCAGCACTTTTTGGCGCCTTCGCTTGTGAAACTTTCAGAACCCGACCGAAAAGCTCGGCCTGGTCCATGTTGTTGATGGCCTCTTTAGCATCCGCGGGATCCTCAAACTCGACATAGGCAAAGCCTCTGTGAGGATCAGTTGCGTTCGGAGCATCGTTCTTTGGCACTTGGACTTCTACAATTTCGCCGAACGGAATGAAGGCGTCGAGAACATGGCTATTTGTAGCCAAAGGTGAGAGACCTCCAACATAAACGGTGGCCTTCCACCTGGATGATGTGTCCGTCATTTCAAGTCTTGTAAAACTGGAGTTCCGGCGGTGGAGAGAATAGCGAAGGTCTTCCGAAGGATCGCACTTAGACTGAAGCTATACCAGCACTCATTCACTATTTTTTGAATCTCATCCTCGTTGCATTCCGAGGCACAATCATCACGTGACAGCACTAAGGACAATGGAGGCTTCAGGCGGCTGTTGGACAGCTGTCCCGCTTGGAAGGCGTTGGTGGGGTTGAGGTGGGCAACTCCCCCTTTACGTCTTACCTAAAGCACCTAAGCTTAGGTCCTGGCCAGCAACAGCGGTGGCCTGCAATCTGGCATCATATCGTTGTCGCCCTCTTAATTCTTGCTGCCCCAACGACCGAGGAGCATTCAGTTGAATGCCCATCTGCTGGTTACAGCAAACCACAATTGGATCATCATTTTTTTAATCTTTTCCCTATGTCAAGATACGGCTATTAAAACAGGATCCATCCGAAGCACAAGTGAGCACCCCCCCATCGTCATACCTCTATAGTCGAGTGCTTCCAGCACCATGGTGCGCCTTAGGGAACTGCCGCGGACAGCGACCTTTGCCTGGTCGTCGGGATCTGAGAAGCCTCTTTTGGTGACCGGCACTCGAGCTGGCGCTGTCGATGCAGACTTTTCCGATGAGAGCAAGCTGGAGCTCTGGGACCTGTCCCTGGACGACGCCAAGCAGGGCATTGAGCTTCAACCTATCGTGAGCATCACTACCGAGTCCAGGTATGCATTCACAACAAATATCATGGTGGACGAGCTTGTGATTGACTAGCTTCCTAAGATTTTACGATATCGCTTGGGGACCCCCCGACTCAGACCACCCCCGTGGAATCATCGCTGGCGCATTGGAAAACGGTTCCCTCGATCTGTGGGATGCCGAGACGCTGATCGCTGGGGAAGATGCACTGATGTCACAGACATCAAAGCATAGCGGCCCCATTAAGACCATTCAGTTCAACCCTCTCAAGCCCCAGATCCTCGCCACTGGTGGCGCCAAGGGAGAGCTGTATATCTACGATGTGAACGACATTGAGAACCCATTCCGGTTGGGTAACACCGCTGCTCGATCTGATGATATTGATTGTCTAGCTTGGAATCAAAAGGTGTCCCACATTCTTGCGACTGGCGGAGCTGGAGGTTTCGTTACAGTTTGGGATTTGAAGACTAAGAAGGCCTCGCTCACACTCAACAACAGCCGAAAAGCAGTGAGTGCGATCGCATGGGACCCGAACAACTCTACCAAACTCTTGACAGCCACCCCGGACGACAACACGCCAGTGATCTTCCTTTGGGATCTCCGCAATTCAAATGCCCCCGAGAAGACCCTTCAAGGCCACGAGCAAGGTATCCTGTCGCTTTCTTGGTGTGCCCAGGACAGCGACCTCCTTCTGTCTGCAGGCAAAGATAACAGAACCATTGTATGGAACCCGCAGACTGGCGAACGACTTGGGGAGTTTCCAGAAGTCACCAATTGGACCTTCCTGACACGATTCAACCCACACAACCCTAACCTTTCAGCCACTGCTAGCTTTGACGGCAAAATCACAATTCAAACCCTCCAGAATACCAACCCCGACACTTCCCAGTCGGCTGCGGGGAAGAATCTGGACGATGAGGAGTTCTTCAGTGCCGCTCAAACACAGCCACAGGGTGCTTCTTGGTCGTTGAGCAAAGCCCCCAAATGGTATGAACGACCTGTCGGTGTATCGTTTGGATTTGGTGGTAAGGTTGTTGTCCTCAAACAGGCCGCTACTCAGCCAGGCCAGAAGCGATCCTCTCAAATCCTCATCACAAGCTTCTCTGCCGACTCTGAGGTTTCAGTCTCAAGCGAAAAGTTCCAGTCGTCATTGGCTTCTGGTGACCTGACCGCTATTTTTGAAGACAAAATCGAACAAGCTAGCACGGAGGATGAAAAGGCCGATTGGAAGGTGATGGAGACTTTGGTTGGCGATAACCCACGTGGAAAGATTGTTGAATATCTTGGCTTCACGGAGGAGGATGCGGTGAATGGCGAGGACGTTCCTTCTAAAGACGCTGAGAAGGAGGACGATGCTAAGCCCGATGCGGAGACCGAGGAAGAGAACAAGAAGAAGAGACTGTCTAACTTCTTCGATGGCGGAGATGCCGATGGCGAAGGAGACGACTTTCTTTCCAACCTGGCGGCCAACAAGGGAGCCAAGACTGACAAACCCTTCCATCTTTTCGCCGACTCCGACACATCTATCGAGAAGGACGTGACAAAGGCACTCATGCTCGGAAATTTCGCCAAGGCAACCGATATTTGTCTGAAGCAGGATCGCATTGCTGATGCTTTCTTGATTGCAAACTGCGGGGGCCAGGAATTAGTCGACAAGGTCCAATCCGCATATCTCGCCCAGAAGAACGGAATCCCCAGCTACCTACGTCTGATCGGCTCAGTGATCACCAAGAACCTCTGGGATGTAGTCTACAATGCCGACCTGGAGAACTGGAAGGAAACCATGGCGATCCTCTGCACCTATTCAGACCCCGCAGAGTTCCCCGACCTCTGCGAGGCTTTGGGTGACCGGATAAGCCAAGAAGGTTCAAGAAAAGATGCCTCCTTCTGCTACCTGGTTGGCTCCAAGTTGGAGAAGGTGGTTTCTATCTGGGCCGCCGAGCTGGATGAAGAGAAGAAGGCCGGCATCAGCACCGAATCTGATGACTCCACGTTCTCTGTCCATGCTAGAACATTGCAGAGCTTTATCGAAAAGGTCACTGTGTTCCGCAAAGTGAGCAAGTTCACTGACGGCGAAAAGTCTCTGGCCTCTGACTGGAAGCTGGCTGCTCTGTATGACAAGTACACAGAGTATGCCGACATCCTTGCTGGGCAGGGCCAATTGCTGGTGGCTCAACAGTATCTTGACTTGCTGCCTTCGAGCTATCCTGCCGCAGAGCTCGCTAGAAATCGTGTCAGGTTAGCCACACAAAAGCCCGGATCTCAAGCCAACACCAGCAAACCCGCACCAAGAACGTCATCAAGGGCTGGTTACCAGAACCCGCTCGTCGGAGCCGCTGCTAATCAATTCGTCGGAGCCGCTGCCAATCAATTCGTCGGAGTTGGTCGGCAGTCACCGGCTCCTCCTGCTCAGAACCAGGCATATGTTCCTCCTGGCCAAGCACAAGCGTACCCAACGACTCAAACCCAGCCATTTGCTTCTTCGAACCCGTACCAACCCCAGGGAACGTTCAATCAGCCCAGTTATCCCCATACCATGGCACCACCTCCGGTGGCACCTGGCCCCCCTAGGAACTCGACTCCTTCTTCAGGGCCACCGCCATCCAAGGCCAAGAATATGGAAAATTGGAATGATGTTCCGATCGTCACAAAGGCCCCCCCACGAAAATCAACGCCCAGTGTGCAAGCAATCACATCGCCCTTCCCCAACCAACCAGCCACCTTCTCGGCACCCCCTCCTCCAGGTGCTTATGGGCAACGGGGTGTAGCATCTCCCCCCCCTCCGCCACCCAAGGCTGGACCTCCCAGGGTACAGTCGCCGCTTACCGGATCTCAGTCTTTCCAGGCACCGCCTCGACCATCTTCGGCTGCGAACCAGTATGCTCCTCCCCACCAAGCCAGCTCAAACCCCTACCAGCCTCCACACGCTATCCCACCAACCTCCTACAATGCTCCTCCAGCTGCAGCCCCTTCCTCAAACCGATATGCTCCTTCTCCTGCGGCACAGCAGGCAGCTCATCCTCCTCCAGCATCTATTCCTCCTCCGACTGGACCGTACGGTGTTGCTCCTCAGCAGCCACCTTCAAACAACCCGTATGCTCCTTCTCCTTATGCCCCGGCTCCTAACCAAGGGCCTGGTGCGCCTCAGCCGGGTCCTCCTCCTCAGGCTTCTCGACCTGGACCTCCACCCGGTTCAGCACCAGCTGCGGCAACCGCCCCACCCAAAGCCGCTGCTCCTGCCAAGGCCAGACACCCTGCAGGTGATCGATCTCATATCCCGGCCAGCGCTCAGCCTTTGGTAGAGATCCTGAGTCAAGATATGCAACGGGTTGCTTCCAAGGCACCAGCTACATTTGCCAACCATATTAAGGATACGCAGAAGCGGCTGGGCATCTTGTTCGACCACCTCAACAACGAAGAGTTGATTCAGCCCTCTACGATTGAGCAGCTCTCACAATTGGCCAATGCACTTCAGTCCAAGGATTATCCTACGGCCCAAAAGATACAAGTAGATATTCAACGGGACAAGACTGAGGAATGTGGTAATTGGATGGTGAGTAACCCCTACCAAATGGAACATTTCCGTGTGAATCTTGCTAATTTATCATCTACCCAGGTTGGTGTCAAGAGACTCATTACCATGAGCAAGGCTACCAATTAGCCAATTATTCGAAATTTGTCAGCACCGATAGTCTCTAATCGCTTGAATATTTATGTTAGTGGCTGTACTTACTAACAAGGGAGTATTTGTTTGAAGGGCGGCCGCGGAAGATAAATTAGAGTAGAAAAAAATTACATGATGCAAACGTCTTGGTGAGGCTTGATGAATAAATGTCTTTTTTACTTGTGCGATTTCCCCTGCTACCTACTCGTTGTCTACTGCGTGTCCCTATGCGGATGAGAACTATTGCTTAGCTTCGTTTGGAAGCCGCCTTCGGCCAGCCAAATGAAGCTCCGAGTTTGTAACGGGATAGTCCGTAATTGAGTTGATACCTTACCCAACGCAGACCGACACCCAACCTCCAAGCATCTTCAAAGTTATTATTTGATCCATGCCTCATGCATCATTCTAGGTGCATATCCAGTGCTCAATCTCGTCTCACTCACTCATGCGAGATAGTCAGGAGGAGTGAAAATTCTATATTTATGACCCTACTATTTTAATAGCTCTTCCAAAATAGTTAGCCCGGCCGCCATTGACTTTGGGGTCCGGAAAGGGTGTGGTGCTAACCTACCGAATCTGATGTAAGAGAATTCCAGTCGGCCCTGTGGCGTATAAGGCTTTGCGATGGCTGGTGTCATCATCATCATTACCATTGCCATCATCAACTAAGTACGACATGGCTAGCGTCAAAGAGCTCTGTCGTGTCGTCTACGATCAATATGCTTCCGAGGATCCGATATTGTTGGGAACTCAGTTACTTATAAATCTTCGAAGCTCCCCCCAAGTATAGCTCTGTTCCATCGTTCCTCTCGAAGCTTCGTTTACGCTGTGCCCTAATTTTCAATATCTGCCTACTCAAGATATCCAGTAAAGATGCGGTTCATACCCTCCCTCATTGCTGCCAGTGTCGTCCTGGCAGAGGTTGTTGCTGCAGGTGCCAAAGTCCCAAGGGCCTTCGGTGTCCCATCGGATGATGGGTTCCCCAACCCGAGCCCTCAGCAGATCCTCGATATCTCTCAGCGTGCCAAGGGAAAACTTCCGGATGGAGCCACTCCCAGTTCATTGCCTGCTGGTACCGTCACGACACTCCAGCTCATTGCTTTCAACGAGTTGTTTGAGACCGCCTTCTTCTCTTCGCTGATCAACAACATTACCAATGGCGTTGACGGCTATACAGATGCCCCCAACGGTGCTGTTGAGATCCTGACTGCTGTGCTTGCTGTGAGTCTTGTCTAAGCCCCTTTAATCCCTCCTTGAAGTTCAGAAGTTCACCGCGTTCTGATATCCACAAAGCAAGAAGAGCTCCATGCTCTGGGAGCGGTTTCTATCCTCAAGGCCGCAGGGGCTTTTGCCCCCTCTCCATGCCAGTACCAGTTCCCAGTCGCCAAGATCGGGGACGCCGTTGCTCTGGCGGAAACCTTCACTGCTGTAGTGTTGGGCGCGTTGCAAGGAGCTGGAAAGCAGTTCGCTCTTGACGGTGTTGCCGATTTTGTTCAGTTGATCGCGTCTGTCATCGGCCAGGAGGGTGAGCAGAATGGATTCTACCGCCTGCTCCTCAACAGGATTCCATCAGAGAAGCCCTTCTTGACCTTCGTGCCCGCTCCCTACGCATTTAGTGCTCTCCAGCTCTTCGTTGTGCCTGGTTCATGCCCCTTCCCCCTCAGCGACATCAACCTGCCCATATTCCCGACGCTGGCAGTCAACGGAGGACCTGTGGCTGTTATCCAGCCAAACGACCAGACCCTGTCGTTCTCAGCGGATCTGTCCACGTCTCCCAATGCCCAGCAGTACATTGGGGGCGACGGAAGCGGTCTCTACGTGACCTACACCATCGGACAGCAGCAGCCCGTCTCAGTGAGCATCACCAACGTCCAGTGGCAAGGCAGTGTCATTTCTTTCTCCGCGCAGTTCCCGTACTCGGCAAATCAAGCCGATGGATTCAGTCATGGCGCTCTCACAACCACCAGCAACCCCTCTAGCTTCGATGCTCTGGTACAGTGCACACTGGCTGCCCCTGCTGTCATCCAGGTCAACAACAACATCGTTTAAACGCTATTATGTTCCTAGAGTAGTGTGGATAGGTAATCGAGGTGGCTGGATATTGAAAAATAGTTTTTGCTGTTTCAATGATAACTCCCTTCGTCTTAGTCGTGACCCTCTCGGCAGTTTAATCCGTAGCTTCAATAAGTGCTGACGCCGCGCCAACTGGCTAGTGCCATCTGACATCAGAGGGCGCCCTGAGGTTTGCAATGTGCCGAATTACCGTTTTTATCCAGATGAGTGAGGAAGATGCGTAATGTTGCTGTGCGGATTGAAAGGAGGTTGTTTCAGGAGCAGAGTGGGTGTAGGTTAGCACAATGTCATTGGTGACGTCGATTTGGACCCCTGTCAAGTGGGTGACATAAAAAGTGATACACTCAGAACGTCCAGCATCGAATTTCAACACAATATCAAGACACTCAACATAGTAATAAAGACAATATCAAACAAAATACTACTTAATAATTCATTGCGTTTTTTATTGACTCTAGCATCATTTTTTTTTTGTAGAAAACGAGAATCTTGCCTTTCATGAAAGAGCTTTGATGTGCCATGTTCTATTTCAGGCCCTGTCAGTGACTTTGGGGTAATGACCCACTGTCCACAATCGACGATAACAGAAACGACACCTGCCTCGATGTGATACGTTGCTCGTTGACGTTGACTCTCCATTACCTGCACCCAACTTCCCTGCCACGTTTGCCAGACCAAGCAATCCCAAATCAGCGGATATGACAGAGAGCGTAGCGACCTCCAATGATGCTGATGCTGCTGCTCAGCGGGCCTCAGAGCAGGCACGCCTCCGAAAGGAACGGAGGGAGGCAAAACTGAAAGCTGGCGGCTCTGCCCGGCTCAACAAGATCACGGGCATGGGCGGCCGCCCACAAGCAGGTAAGAATCTCGCATAAGTATTGCTATGATGAATCCGAGCTAACTCTCCCTGCTAGACTTTGACGCCCCGCCCTCGGCAACTGCAGCATCCGAGTCTATTACGCCGGTACCAGCTGCTCCCACGACCGCAGCAAAGGCTGTGGACGCAACTGCTGACCCCGACGAGGTGGACATTTCCGAGCACTTCTACGCCCCCAAGACCACCGCCAGAACGAACAATGTTCCTCCCGCTGGAGCTGAGCCGAACATCTCCGAGGCTGCGCTGCGCCAGATGATGCTGGGCTTCGACCCCGCCGCCGGCGGCCAAAACGGCCAGAACCCAGCTGGACTAGGCATCCCTGGCGCGGAGGAGGACCCCATCATGAAGATGATGAGCCAGATGATGGGAGGTGGCGCGGGAGGGCCAGGCGGCATGCCCCAGTTCCCCTTTGGCGGCGACGGGTCGTCGTTCCCAGACCTGAGCAGCTTCTCCAACCTCCAGCAGGAGAAGAAGCCCCAGCCCCTCGACACCTACACCGCCCTCTGGCGCCTCCTCCACGCCCTCGTCGCCCTCGGGCTGGGCCTGTACATCGCCGTCCTCACCCCGTTCACGGGGACCAAGATGGAGCGGGAGCTGGCCGCCCTCTCGGACGAGGAGAACTTGCACCGCAAGGACTTCTTCTTCTGGGTGTTCGCCACGGCCGAGGCGTGCCTGCTCACCACCCGGTTCTTCCTCGACAAAGGTAGGGCGCCGCCGCCCGGGATCGTGCAGACGGTTGTGGGATTCCTGCCCGAGCCGTACAAGGGGTATGTGCAGGTGGTGTTGCGGTACGGCCAGATATTCACTACAGTGAGGGCGGACATCCTGGCTTGCATGTTCGTGCTTGGGGTTTGTTCATGGTGGAGGGCAAGGGAATTGGAGTGATGTGTCATGGGCTGTTGGATCGAGTCGAGGTAGATGATAGACGGTCCTTTTGAATGAAGTAAAAGAATCACCCGCTCGGGGCGTTTAGTATTAATAATATATGTCTCGCAGAACTCTACCGGTTTTACTTTACAATGTGACTCTAAATGGTCATGAACACCACCCTATCCAATTATCCAACATGTTACAATATCATGCGAACATCTTCATGTTCGCATGATAGAATTGAGCAACCTGCCGAAGACACCCCTCACCCGCTTCGGGTTCTCCAGCACGCAGGTTGAAATCACAGCCGCGCTGGCTGCGAACGCAAGTGTTTCCTTGTACTGCTTCTCCGAGGAATACTTGCGAGGAAGGATGGTCGCCAGCGCACGCGGGGCGACGAACAGGGCCATGTCCTTGCGGCGGCTGGCGGTCTCGATGAGGATGCTCCAGCCGCACAGGCCGCAGCCCATGCCCACACAGATGCCGCCGTCCATGCGCTGGCACGCCTCTTTGCTCCGGCCGTTGATGTAGGGGCCTATGCGCGTGCGGGCGAGGCAGATGGTGTAGTAGAAGATGGTGATGAAGCTGCCGAGGAAGAGGGAGGAGCGGGACGCGGAGACGAACGCCTTGAGGAGCTGTTTCCTCTCGAGCTTCCGGACCTTGAAGGCGAGGGCTAGGGGCAGATATGTGTACATGGCCCATTTCCAGGAACGGGCCAGACGGCTGATGGCGTGGGCCTCGCAGGACTGCCCGCGCTTCATATGGACGACCTCGCACGGGTAGGGGATGGTCTTGGCCGGGTCGCCCCAGACGGCGGGCATGTCCAGGCCGACGCACATGGGACCGAGCAGAGAAGCCTGCCCGGTATCCTCGCCGTAGCGGAGCTCGTTGAACTTGCATCGGCGAAGGGCTTCGATGAGACGCATATCCAGCATGGCGGCGGAAGTGATCCATTTCTGGTAGCTCCGTGGCAGGTTGTTGGGATAGTAGAACCAGGACCACATGATGAAAGCGCATGAGACGACAAAGATGAAGGGATCAGTGAGATAGCCGGTGAGCTCTTCAGCCTAAGGGGTGTTAGTTAGGTCATGTATGTGAGGTTGACTCGGTTCTTAGTTGACTTGCCTTTGTCCACTTGTGAGCTTGGCTGCGCCGGGCACGATGCCGGGACCATAGCTCTCCAACGATGATATCCAGAGCTCTGGTGACTGTGAATAATGTAAGATCTAGTGTATGACCACCAGACCTTGGCGCGGGCTTCTGATGAGAAGGGTCCTTCGCGGTAGGGTCAACACTGCCATTGGCACTTGGGCTTGTGCTGGCTGAACCTTTTTTCTGGTGTAGAAGGCGCATGCCCAGCCACGCAGAAATGAATGCCGATATCCATCTCGCAAGCCTTTGAATTGGTGAGAAAAGTCTAGATGGTTGGAAGTGAGACCAACATACCTGAGACGAGCTAATCCGCTAATGTTTTTAAATGAGTGAGTGAGAAGAATAAAGAATGGTTTCTAAAGAGGAGAGGAAGGAATTAGTAAAAGAACGATAGATTGCAAAGCGGTCGTGTCGTTTGTATGTCTAACAGACTTGTGTATGACAGCATAAGCAGCCGTCCATGCAATATGTAGGTGAGTGGAGGTGGGCTATAGGTGTTATACCAGAAGGAGAGTGCTGCCCCCCGCAACTACGGCGCAAAACGTGGGGAAGCGCTGGGGCTCAAAGCCAGTTGCGATGATATGGAGCAGCGGACGGATCAAAGAGGGCGTCTCTTCGGTCTTGGACTGTTTCGATGACTTCCGACGAATTCTAGAGACGTGACTGGCGATCAGAGCGAGAAGACGTGGCCCGACAGTGGTTGCGTAGCCGGTGACATAGGCGCGAACCAGGGGTCGAAGAGCTGGTGGAACAGACGACAACGCGATCAACCCAGCCGCCTGGCCTGGAGTTGACTTGGAGATGACCTGTCTAAACTCATGGCCTATCTTTCGGTCTAGGGACATTTCTGGAATTTGGAGAGTAGCATCCGGGCGGCAATCACGCCGCTCGAAGCCACGCTTATTATGTGATGTGAAGCAGGGGTGTGATAGTCATTGGGAGGCTGCGAGATAAGGGGCTTCGGGCAGTGTTACCTCGAACGAGTAGAGGATCGCGTGTGAGCAACGCCACAGTGTGTCACCGGCCGCAATGTTATGTTCAAAAGGGAATGATATGTTTGATCAAGATGAAAGACACGGCTTCGCAGGTGAAGCAATTAGGGAGATGAGTAGTGATTAGTCATCACAACCGCGATTTCACCTCGGGGTACGGTCTTTCATGTGAAAATTAGCATGTGGTGAAGTTGAGATTGGGAGATTAAAAACGCCAGCTGCGTCTAGCGGTAGAATTCGAATTTGAAGGAAATCCGGGGGAGGAAAATTAATTATTGACATCACATCTGAGACACCCATACGCCGCACGCAGCCGATGATACACGAGTTGGTTGGTACCTACAGACTGAGTTCTTCGAAGTGACAGTAACAGCAACAACTACGAATGAGTAAATGCGAGATGAGGGCATTGGGTATGATATTGAATATATTGTGTTGTATGTGTTGGTTTTATTTTTAATATCATATTCTCAAGTTGGGATATATCGATCTCATTGACCTCGCGTATCATTTGTTGCAGGTCCTGGCTGAAAATGCTGCACTAACTGAACCCTGCACGTGTTTCATGAGCTGCTCGTCATTCACCTACAGGCGATATACCTAGTCGTGCTAGCGATCTTCATGCGTTGGTGGCTGCCAAGGCTGGCGGTGCCCAATGGCTACAGCGAGTTCCACAGCGCATCACCCCTCATCTGTAGCGGGGTAGAGAAAAGCGAGGCACGCACTCAGCATTCCTCACCTTACCGAACCTACAACGTACCGATACATAGAGATTCAGCGAGCGCCGCGTTTTGCGCATGTGGTTAGCCAGGTCACAGCCTGGGTTTGAGTTTCAGAGAGCTCATAAAATGTGACGGCATGACTCTGGGAAGCTGCATTATTTTAGAGCTCTCCAGTGCTTGCTGGGTTGTGTGAGTGGCATTGGTTGCTGAGTCACGCCGAGAACGTTTCCGGATTGAGGAAGCTCCATGAGTCGGGGGAGCTTGTCGTTGTAGAGGGAAGGTTATGCGCACCTGGCATGTAGAGGAGGGGAGGGTTACCATGCCCTTTTCCTAGGTACCACCACGCACTGCGGGTATCAATTGGGCCAGGTTCCGTGGCGGCGGCGCGAGTCCAAAATTGCTCCTCACTGGTGGCGAGGGGGAGTCTTGAGTGGCCTGGGCCTGGCGTGACTTCCATTACTTGCCTCATGTTTTGGCCTTTTCCTCATTGAGTTTCTTTTTCCCAGACACAATTTCTTTTAGCATATCCATATGACTGCAGCCCATTGCGGTGTGACTCCCACGCACCTTATCAGCCTCTGCTAACTTTGGTAGGCGGCTTGTTGCTCAGGTCACCATCGCCGTGATGGTGGGGCAAGGTGAGCACCCCACCAATCCTCGCCTGATGATCGTATTTTTTTTCGGTCCTTGTCGGTACCGTGCCAAGCGCGGAACAATGCGCTGAACCGCATGTACCTCGCCTCGACAGACCATATGTAATCAGTCAAGTACATGGACAGAGGGATACCTCAGGCGTGCCGGAGCTGTGGTGAGAGGCAATGGAGGTTGGCCACGGTTTAGATAAAAGAACAGCTCGGTTCTCGAACATGCTTTTGTAATGCTCCTGCTCTCTACCTGCTTAGGTATCAAAAAGAGAACCTTCCTTGCAATCCGAAAAGGCAAATTTTTTAAGCAAGCAGTACCTCTTGGTGCTGCAAATTAACCTGCTAAGCACTGTGTCCCACCTCTGAGCTGCCCGATCTGAGTGACTGAGACGTCAAGCCCCGCCATAAAAGTGTACAACTCAACCCCGCTTTGGCTTCTTCCTCTCCCACATCACCACCAATTTTTTCCTTCAACACCTACAGGCATTCAAGCCAGGTAAAAGCAAAAATACCGCCAAGATGGTGAAGTAAGTTGTCTCTGATGTTCATTCTTGCTCTGATCAGCTCCTCTTGCCCTCACCATTCCTTCATCTTCGCCTAGTCGTCCTCGATGCAGCGACGCAGGCGCCAGAGCGCAAAAAAAACAGCGCCCTGCCCCTCCGGAGATAACACTATGCCCTCAGAAAGGAAAAAACAGAGTTTGCTGACATATTGCTTCACCATGATAGCTTCACGGTCGACGAGGTCCGGGCCCTCATGGACAAGCCCACCAATGTCCGAAACATGTCCGTCATTGCCCACGTCGACCACGGCAAGTCGACTCTGACCGACTCCCTGCTGTCCAAGGCCGGTATTATCTCCTCCGCCAAGGCTGGTGAGGCCCGTGCCACCGATACTCGTGCCGATGAGCAGGAGCGTGGTATTACCATCAAGTCCACCGCTATCTCTCTGTACGGTCATCTTGATGACCCCGAGGATATCAAGGATATCGTTGGCCAGAAGACCGATGGTCAGGACTTCTTGATCAACCTGATTGACTCCCCCGGTCACGTTGATTTCTCCTCTGAGGTTACTGCTGCTCTCCGTGTCACTGACGGTGCCCTCGTCGTCGTCGACACTGTCGAAGGTGTATGCGTTCAGACCGAGACTGTGCTCCGTCAGGCCCTTGGTGAGCGTATCAAGCCCGTTATCATCATCAACAAGGTCGACCGTGCTCTTCTCGAGCTTCAGGTCTCCAAGGAGGATCTTTACCAGTCCTTCTCCCGTACCATCGAGTCCGTTAACGTCATCATCTCCACCTACTTTGACAAGACTCTCGGTGATGTCCAGGTCTACCCCTACAAGGGTACCGTTGCCTTCGGTTCCGGTCTCCACGGCTGGGCCTTCACTATCCGCCAGTTCGCTGTCCGTTACGCCAAGAAGTTCGGTGTTGACAAGGGCAAGATGATGGAGCGTCTCTGGGTAAGTTTCCTCCTTGCTTGAATGCAGATGCTCCCCTCCCACGATGGCGGTACAGGCCAGTTGCATTTCAATGATTGTGTACTTACTCGAAATCACTTGTAGGGCGACAACTACTTCAACCCCCACACCAAGAAGTGGTCCAAGTCTGGTACCCACGAGGGCAAGCAGCTTGAGCGTGCTTTCAACCAGTTCATCCTGGACCCCATCTTCAAGATCTTCTCCGCCGTCATGAACTTCAAGAACGACGAGATCACCACTCTTCTGGACAAGCTCCAGCTCAAGATCTCTGCCGATGACCGCCAGAAGGAGGGCAAGCAGCTGCTCAAGGTTGTCATGCGCACTTTCCTCCCCGCTGCCGACGCCCTTCTGGAGATGATGATTCTCCACCTTCCTTCTCCCGTCACTGCCCAGAAGTACCGTGCTGAGACTCTGTACGAGGGTCCTCTTGACGACGAGGCCGCCATTGGTATCCGTGACTGCAACCCCAAGGGTCCCCTCATGCTTTACGTCTCCAAGATGGTGCCCACTTCCGATAAGGGTCGATTCTACGCCTTCGGTCGTGTCTTCTCCGGTACCGTCCGCTCCGGTCTCAAGGTCCGCATCCAGGGTCCCAACTACACCCCTGGCAAGAAGGATGATCTCTTCATCAAGGCTATTCAGCGTACCGTCCTGATGATGGGTGGCAAGGTCGACCCCATTGACGACATGCCCGCCGGAAACATTGTCGGTCTCGTCGGTATCGACCAGTTCCTGCTTAAGTCTGGTACTCTTACCACCTCTGAGACTGCCCACAACCTCAAGGTCATGAAGTTCTCCGTCTCCCCCGTCGTGCAGCGCTCCGTCCAGGTTAAGAACGCCCAGGATCTTCCCAAGCTGGTCGAAGGTCTCAAGCGTCTCTCCAAGTCCGACCCTTGCGTCCTTACCTACACCTCTGAGTCCGGTGAGCACGTCGTTGCTGGTGCCGGTGAGTTGCATCTCGAGATTTGCTTGAAGGATCTTGAGGAGGACCACGCCGGTATCCCTCTGATTATCTCCGACCCCGTCGTCCAGTACCGTGAGACTGTCCAGGGCAAGTCGAGCATCACTGCTCTCTCCAAGTCCCCCAACAAGCACAACCGTCTGTACATGGTTGCTGAGCCTATTGAGGAGGAGCTCTCTCTCGCCATCGAGGCTGGCAAGGTTTCCGCCCGTGACGATTTCAAGGCCCGTGCCCGTGTCCTCGCTGACGACTTCGGCTGGGATGTCACTGACGCCCGTAAGATCTGGACTTTCGGTCCTGATGGCACTGGCGCCAACTTGCTGGTTGACCAGACCAAGGCCGTCCAGTACCTCAACGAAATCAAGGATTCCGTCGTCTCCGGTTTCCAGTGGGCTACCCGTGAAGGTCCCGTTGCTGAGGAGCCCATGCGCTCTACCCGCTTCAACATCCTTGATGTGACCCTGCACGCTGATGCTATCCACCGTGGTGGTGGCCAGATCATCCCCACTGCTCGTCGTGTCCTGTACGCCGCTGCCCTTCTGGCCGAGCCTGCTCTGCTCGAGCCCGTCTACCTGGTCGAGATTCAGGTACCCGAGAACGCCATGGGTGGTGTCTACGGTGTCCTTACCCGCAGACGTGGTCACGTCTTCAACGAGGAGCAGCGCCCTGGTACTCCCCTCTTCAACATCAAGGCCTACCTCCCCGTCCTGGAGTCCTTCGGTTTCAACGGAGATCTCCGTGCCGCCACCTCCGGCCAGGCCTTCCCCCAGTCCGTGTTCGACCACTGGCAGGTTCTGCCCGGTGGCTCTCCTCTCGACTCCAGCTCAAAGGTCGGAGCCATTGTCACTGAGATGCGTAAGCGCAAGGGTATCAAGGCTGAGGTGCCCGGTGTTGAGAACGTAAGTCATATCCCTACTGATCCAGGAAAGTGTTTCGAATTGTGTTGGCTAACTTGCCTCTCTTCTAGTACTACGACAAGTTGTAAGCGAACTTACCTTGAATGGATGATATCAGATCCTGTGTCCTTGTGGATGCAGAACCTCAACAGGCTGCTAGCGAAGATCTGGGACGCCTGCCTGAGCCCCATAGAGAAGCCCCTTGCGAAGACATCAAGGCGGGCTTTTGTCCAAGAACAAGCCGCCGAGACAAGGAACCAAAAAAATATGGTAAATAAATTTTGAGGGCTAGATTGAGGCCATAATCACGGGGAAGCTCTCCGCTTGGCTTTTATGTAGTGATGTGCCGATAGTGGAAACATGACAAAAGAAATGATGACTTTTTATGTTCAAAAGGATGGCTCCTGATCCCATGCATATGTGTTTGTGAATGCCAATGCCGGGCAAAGGAAACAAAGCAAGACTGTGCTGATGAATCTATACTCGATCGTCCAATGAGTGAGCATGAGGACGAGATCTCGTATGGAATGAGGAGTGGTTGCACATAGCTCGTACAGACTCGTCCTGTCTCATCGTTCACCGTACCTTGATGCTAAACAATCGAATTACCTAATCGTAGCGCCTGTAGCTAGTGCCTGGAGTTTCCCAGCAGAGGTGGAGCCTGAATTTGATCTTGGGAGCCAAGATTATCAAAGTGCTTCAAAGTTTACGAGCGCCTGCGGAAGAAAAAGTTACGAACTACATCTACCGAGTGCCAATCTACTGAGAACAATCTCATTCTTGGGCGAATTGATTTGGCGACTTATCGAGTGCCCTCCGAAAACAACGCGAACGCGATCGCGACACCGAAGCAAGCCGACCGTACAAAGTTTCAAGCTGTGCATGACCTTTCGCCCTATTCTCCAGGCTTCGATGCCTTTTACTTGAGGCACCATGATGTTCCCCGAGGAAGATGCGCCTTTGCTGAAGACATGGATTGTGAACCGAATCGAAGACACGTACGCCCTCCGCTCCCTCATACCATTTACCACATATTTCAAGCGCCGGAACTCATCACCTTCCCGCTTTCTAGATCTAATGCAGACGCCGAGGTGTTGGCAGAATATATCATCGCGCTCCTGAAGCATGATGGCGATAAAGCGTCTGTCCGCGCGTTGTGCGAACAGGAGATCCCCGACTTTTTGAGCGAAGGTACCGTGCTGTTACCCTCTCCCTCGCCACTGCGCTGGCATTGCGCCTGGGCATCCTGCCAAATCTACCTGGTCACCATTAACCCGTGTCGCAGACCCGAAGCCTTTCCTGGACGATGTGTTCCAGGCGATTGCGTACAAATCCTACATCCCGGGCGCTGCGCCCGCTCCCAAACTCCAGCCTCGCAGACCGGACCCCCCACCGCCTCAAGTAGATGCAGCTCCCAGCGCGGGCCACTCTGGCTCCAAGAAACGAAGCTACAATGACCGAGACGACGGCGATCCATCTGGGAATCAAGATGGGTATCACAATGGTGGCCGGCCCGCCAAGCAGCAGCGAAAACGTGGGCGAGGTCGAGGGGAGGATAAGCGTGGGGACTTCTCAGCGATGGGCATGCCTCCATTCGACCCCCAGAATCCAGCTGCGATGGAAGCATTTATGGCCATGGCCATGCAATACCCTGGGATGGGTCAGTTTCTGGGGAATGGCTCTCGAGGCCAGCCTCGGCGGAGAGGTAGATGCCGAGACTTTGATTCCAAGGGGTATTGCTCTCGAGGAACGAGTTGCATGTATGATCACGGGAATGAGTCTTTATATATCCCTTCTGGGCCTCAGGGCGATGGTGAGATGCTCTTTACCCCCCCCCTCCTTTCCCAACGCATATGATAGCTAACCTACGTTTGATTTGCATGCAGAATACGACCCCGATCAGGCCATGCTCCCAGGCAACTTATTTACCTTTTTGAATCCTCTTGCTTTCAAGCCCGAGAATAATCGTGGCCGTGGTGGTCGCAAAGGAGGACGGGCAGGCCGCAAGGGCGGTCGAACGCAGTTCTCTGCCGAAGGCCCGAGCAATGACCGCTCAAAGACGGCAATCGTGGTGGAAAACATACCGGACGAGAGTCTGAACGAGACTGAAGTGCGGAAGTTCTTTTCAGAATTTGGAAACATCAGCGAAGTATCGATGAAGCCGAACAAACACCTTGCGATTATCAAGTACGATCAGTGGGGTTCCGCAAATGCAGCATATCAGTCACCAAAGGCCGTCTTTGACAACCGATTTGTTAAAGTCTACTGGCAGAAGGATGAAAGTAATACGGGGGGCAATGGGTCTCATTCCTCCAAGGACAGGTCAAAAGATCATGAAACGCAGTACACAGAGGATGATGCCCTCGAAATCGACCCCGAAGAGTTTCAGCAGAGGCAAGAGGAGGCACAGAAGAAGTTCCAAGAAAGGGAAACGAAGAGGGCGGAGCTGGAACGGCAGCGGTTGGAACTTGAGAAGAAACAGCAGGAGTTGATGCAGAAACAGCGTGAAGAGAGGGAACGGTTGCACGCTAAGCTGCTGGAGAAGAACGGCGGGGTTCCCGATGCCCCTTCATCGGGGGCGGACATGCTTCGAGCGAAGATTGCCTCGCTGGAAGAAGAGGCCAAAATACTTGGCTTGGATCCCAATGCCGCGGAGGATGACATCAGCATCAGTGTAGAATACCCTCCCCGGGGAGGATACCGGGGCAGATCAACGTTCCGTGGGCGGGCGACCCGTGCGTGGAGAGGGAGCCGCGGGAGCTTCCGGGGAGTAGATGGCCGTCATGCTGCGTATGCTCAATACTCCATCGACAACAGGCCCAAGCGTCTGGCGATCACAGGCGTTGACTTCACAGCGACTGACAAGGACGAGAGCCTCCGCCACTTCCTTTTGGTACGTTATTTCCCATGGTTTCAACCATAGAGTCCCACTTGCTTTACCTCAAACTAACACGGAGACACAGAGCCTCGGAGAGTTCGAGTCCGTAGAGCCCTCGGCGACCACGACATTTGTCTCCTTCCGGGACCGCAAGACGGCCGAGAAGCTCTATAACAGCCTCCACGGCAGCGAACTTCCCGGCGTCGAGGGCAAACTTGAGCTGTCGTGGGTCAATACCCCTCTTCCACCGGTTGCACCGCCACAGGACAGAGATAGAGACGATGTCATGGCGGGCATGGACGAGGACAAGGCGGGTGGTGCGCAGCCGCACAACCAGCACCAGCAGGCCCAGCAGGCGCATGAGGATATCGACTACGACCAGCAGGGGGATGATGCCGATGCTTACTAGCCTCTTACCTTAGCGAGATTAAACAATGAATAGACATGTATCTGGCATTGCATATTTCCCAGATTTTACTTTAATGGCAAGAGTTAATAGCTTCTGTCAAGCTTATGTGAAGAGAGTGTCATGACCCACTGGTGATTGGATTTCATTAGCTCTTGTTCATTTCACTTTGGGGCATTGGGACGAATAGAAGCTCGTTCAAATGGAGTCACTAGAAACGTGCGGGATACGGAGCGGTATATCTCGGGTCAAAAACGACCATTCGAGAGCCAAGAGCCGCCAAGACGTTTGAATAGTCATGGCGGTTCTCCCCGGCTTCACTTGTATTTTTTTTATTTGCTATTTTTCTCTGTCTGTTGTCATCCTTCAAATCCGCCTCTTGCCAAAAAACCAAAGGGAAGTCAGATCATGGTAGATGAATAGATCTACCCACTTACACCCCCCCGAGTCTTGCCTATTTGACAGATCCTGCGTGAAGAATGGGGCCCTCCGCTGGGGAGAGCCCTCTGCAGACAGTATCTATGGTGTCATGGAAGGTCTCTTTGCCTCCACTGTTCCATGGCCTGGGGTATCGTTGAGATATCATATGCATGCTATATGAAAGAACAAGAATAGGCCTTGGGATTCTTGTTGTTTTGTGTTTTCTTTTCCTCCTCGTTCTCCTCCTTGCGTGTGTGTCTTCTTCCCTGATGCTCGTCATGTCGTGAAAGGAGGGAGATGTAACAACAAGTAATGTCCCAAACAAAATATGATGCCGTAGGTCACCTGCTGTGTCCATCACCCTCCTTTGCGATTAGAAACTTCTCGCATTGATGCCAATGCTTCACTCCACTCCTCCCGTCTTATAGTAGCACATGTCTTCGTTATCATGAAACCCAGCCATTGAACCTCTTACACGAAGAGTTCTAGTGTACCTTTTTGTTGAAAAAGACACTCTTTCGTGGTAAACGCCCGCCCGATGCATTAAATAAAAGGAAACGCGATAAAAAGCTAAAAAGAAGAAAATTCAGAAGAAAAATGATGGAAATGAGAGATGTAACCAATCATCTTTTTAAGAACAAGCAAAGAGTGATGAATGCTTGTTACTCAGAAAATCCCGGTTAGTTTGCCACCAAGGCGGCAGCCTCCTTGGGAACCGCCTGGGAGGCGGGGGTGCCATTAGTCACAGATTCCTGATTGTCTGTCTGACCTTCAAAAGGCGACTCTAGTTCCTTGAAATCAATCTCTAGGCCGTCAAAGAGTTTGAAGATGCTCTCGTTGTCATGGAAGTCGTTGTTTACTAGAGAGAAAATTGTTAGGTAACCAAACTTGTCAAGGTGAAAATGCTGGGTCGTGTGTTACTCACCAATGTTGATCAGGTGCCAGTCGGTCATGATATGCTCAATGAGTTTTCTGCTGGCAGAGCCTGAATCAAAACACTTGGCCCAATCCATTCCCAACTGGAAGGCCTCGTCTCTCCAAGCAAGGAAGCTGACGCTCTCGACGATGGTCGGCTGGACAATCTCCTTGCCAGGGAAAACGCCCCATGTCACAGCATTAGGGCCGTCACTGGGCGCGTTGGTCTCGAGCTGCCCAGACTTGGTAACGGCATAGTAAGTCAGGTCTTCATGCTTGGCCATGCGGCTGGTCAACTCCTGATACAGTCGAGGATGAACCAGCACCTCGAGGTACGACTTCTGGTATACATATCCATTGGAGGGGCCCCAACCGTGGACAGGGTGAGATGACTTGACGCCGTCAACAGCAGGTTGAGAGTTGACGGTCAGAATGCCCCGTCTGTTGAGGTTGACCAGGTTTTCCCTGAT